CTCAGCATGAACTGAAACGGAGAAGTAAGGTTTACTGTAGAAATCAAAATATTAGCTGTGACTGTAGGTCAGTGGCAAAGTGCTGGCTTAGCATATACAAGGCCTTGGGTTCAGTCCCTAGCACAACTGAAAAAGAGACAAAAATGAAGGAAAGAAAAGAATAAAATGATAATGTTAGGCATGAGAGATAATTTGGTTCCTTTCACCGTCACTAACACTAGGAAACTGTGTGTGCAAAGCATCTCATGTTTTATTAGGAATCTGTAGGGTAACAAGTGGGAGACTCTGAAGGTGGTTATAATTGGTAACCTAGAAGCTGTCAGATGCAACAGTGAAGCTCCCGTGAAGGAGCAGAGCTTATGGGATTGGGTGGAAAGAGTTCCTTAAAAAAATAGAAAACATTTTTGCTCGTAATATAACAAGCCCATTGAAATAAGTGCCTTAACTTCTTTATTTCTAAATTCATTTTATATTTCATACCATATTATCCATTTTCTTTTTCCATAAGAAAATATTGGTGACATTTCCACCTTGAGAAATCGCACTAAGGCTGAGAAGGAAGTCCCATGGTAGAGTCCTTTTCTAGTGTACAAGAGGCACTGTTTTATCTCCAGCACAACAAAAAATGTCTCCGTGCCATTGACACTTAACTTCAAATTCAACAATAAGCAAGTCTTTGTCAGGAACATACAGTCTCCTAAGTTAATTTATTTAGCCTCTTGAATGCCAAATAGTTCAACAAGTGAAACTGACTTCATAGGAGATGTAGTATGGACTCTGTGAGTTTAGTAATGTTTTTATGACTTTGGCATTTGTATCCTGGTGTTTTTATTATATTGGCAGAGTTTTACAATCTAAGTAGTATGTACTGTACTTCAGCACTAACTTTACACACACATCCACACTCTCACACACACAGAGGCTTTTCTTTCCAGGACAGTAACCCAAATTGCCAGTAGCATCAGTGTTCTGACTCTCTTCCATACCAGCCAGATTCAGTCAACAAAGAATGGAGAGATGGAGGTCAAAGTGTTAACAATTTGAGATTGAAAAACATGCCTAAAAATGGATTATTAATTTCTTATATAACTTTCCTATTAAATTTGTTTTGAGAAATCTTCTTTGGGGCCTCTTATTTTTGAACTGGTAACACATTTTGAAGCCTCTTTTTGTATGAAAGTAGTATTTTCTTCAGTTGGCAGAGTTTTTAACATTTCTGTGTAAATTGATCTTTTGGTAAATTTATTTTTATTGCATGAATATTTCAAAGACATATGCTACCAATTCTGTATACTTAAGAACCCTTTTAAAGCTAGTAATTACTTTCTAATTTATATCTTAGTATACCCTTCTTTTATCCAGCTTACTGTGTGTGGTGGTGCATACCTGTGATTCTAGCACTTGGGAGATAGAGACAGGAGGATCAAGTGTTCAAAGTCATCCTCAGCTATATAAATGAGTTTGAGACTAGCCTGGGCTGCATGAGGCACCCCCCCCATAAAGAAATAAGTTCATACATTAAATAAAGAGTCTCTGTTGTTGCTATTTGCTAATAGTGTTTAGACTCTATTTGTATTGGAATCCTGGCTCTGGCTGGGTGGTGGTGGCAGAAGCCTTAAATCCCAGAACTGGGAGGCAGAGCCAGGCAGATCTTTGCGAGTTTGAGGTCAGCCTGGGCTACAGAGTGAGTTCCAGGACAGCCAAGGCTACACAGATAAATCCCATCTCGGGAAAAAAAAAAACAAAGAATTCTGGCTCTGCAAATTACAAGGAAAATCAAACAACTTCTTACTTAAATTATTTAGTCTTTTAATGTGTAAGGCTAATTGCTTTAAATAAAATTAAATGCAGCAGTGCAAAAGAATATATATGATAGCTTATTTTCTGTCTAGTAAAGTTTCTAAATTAATATACTTACTTGCTTCTGTAATAAAATGGACATTTTGGAACCAAATGTGTTGAATTTAGTATAAAGGTTTTGTGAAAAAATGTCATAAAAGCAACATTCGGTATCTCTTTATTTACTTTTGGATGTTTTAAGCTGATAGCCTTGTACAGCTACTAAGGAGTGAATACAGCTGCCTTTATGTAGGTTTGTCTCTTAGTCAAATCTACATGACATATATGTATTTAAATTAAATGTGTTCTTCCTGTAACTAAGGTTGGATCTCTGTGAAATTATAAAATGTCAGGAAATGCAAATACTTTACAAGAGTTGTCTATAGACAGTTTCATTCCAGATTTTGTAACATAAATGTCCTTTATCAACGATGGTTCTTTCATGTTCCTTTACTCTCCTTGTTTTGTTTTCATAATAAAACCTCTCAGAATTTTAAGCTGTCTCTTACTCATACTTGAACTTTCTTGTTAAATTTACTGAGATATAATTAATGCATCGTTCAACTCACTCATTTAATAATTCAGTGGTTTGCAGTAGTATTCACAGTTATCACCACAGCCAACTTCAAGACATCTTCATCACCCCCCACAAGTAAATTCCATTCTTTTTAGCTGTCAGCTGTAACTACCCTGTCCCCAGCGTTAGGCAATTCTCACTAATCTACATATATATTTTCTGGATATTGCATACTAAATGGAATCACATATATTTGATGCCTGGCTGCTTTCACCTGACATAATATTGCCAAGACTTATCCATGCTGTAGCATGTATCATTCCTTTTTAGTGTGTGTGAAGTATATTTCTTTCTGTCTTTCTAGAGCAGTAGTCCTCAACTTTCCCAATCCTGCATACCTTTTAATACAGTTATAGTGACCCCCAACTACAAAATTATTTTTGTTGCTACTTCATAAGTGTAATTTTGCTACTGTTATGAATTCTAATGTAAATATCTGTGTTTTCTAATGGTCCCTCCCCCCCAATCAGGGTTTCTTTGTGTAACAGCTCTGGCTGTCCTGGAACTCACTTTATAGACCAGGCTGGCCTAGAAATCACAGAGAACCACCTGCCTCTGCCTCCCAAGTGCTGGGATTCAAGGTGTGAACTGCTTCCACTGGGCTGTTTTTTTTGTTTTTGTTTTTGTTTTTTTTCTTTTTTCCAATGGTCTTAGGCAACCCCTGTGAAAGGTTGTTTGACCTTCTAGGGGGTTGTGACCCACAGGTTACTAAAATACCAGGTTCACAGTGGAGACAATAAATTTTTAAGCTATTACCTTCTCATGGAGAAGCTAAGCCTGGTTTCTTATCTGTGTTTCTCTTTTCATATCTATACTGTTCTCTACTCTATAGACCCACTTGCTAAATTTTTTATTTAAATTTTTAAAAATTTATGTGTGTGAGGATTTTTTCCCTGTATGTGTAATTTTGCTCACTACCTATGTGCAATGACGGCATAGTATTTTCTAGAACTGGTTACAGATGGTTGTGAGCCACCAAGTGGGTGCTGGGAGTCAAATGCAGTTTTTTTTTTTTTTTTTTGCTTTTGGGGTATGCTGAGGGATAGTACAGGAATTTGAACCCAGGGCCTTTACATGTCAAGCAAGTGATCTACCACTGAGCTACAGCCTCAGCTCCACCTTCTAAGTCTAGTGTCTACCACAGCTAGTCTTGGTTTTTGAACCTTTTAATTAATCTGATGGAGGCGTGTGGCAAAACAAAACAAAACAAAAAACCATAGACTGCTTCCCAGCCAATGATCTACCTGCCTTTGGGTCAGGTGATGCCTACTTTTGGGAGTCAGCAACTTTTGAATGACTGCAGTTTGACTGAGTGTTAGAAGTTGCCTACTTATACTCCTAGCCTGGATATAATCACCTGTGGAGTAAGTGTTCCCAGTTAGAGCTAAGAGCTGAGTCCCTCCTACCCCAGGCTTATTTGCAAAAGGGAGGTAGCTTTTGGTTAGTTGTTGCTTGCTGGTGCTGCCATTCAGCACCCAGGTTTCTAGTTTCCCCTGGTAGTCTGGTGACTCCTCATCTACACAGTGCACTTTCCATAATACGGGCAGCATGTATTGGGTCTAAAGCAAAGATATTATTCATTAGTTAATTTTTAGTGCTGAGAATCTAACCCAGAGCCTCACCCACAATAGGCTGGCACTCCACCACCAAGCAACAATCCTATAAGACTTCTGACTCTGGGCCGGAAGAATTAGCCACGACAGGCGGATCTCTGTGCATTTGAGGCCAGCCTGGTCTACATGTGAGTTCCAGGACAGCCAATGCTAAGTAATGAGATCCTGTCTGGAAAAGCAAACAATGATGTGTTTGTCATAATTGTAGACAATGGGACTATTGCTCCTCTCCAGCTGCAGTGCAGCCTGTGATGGTTCTGTTCACTGTGTGCAGTGTGGAGAAGCAGCTTCCAGGGCATGCTTCATCCTAACTCTACAAACCAGCTTTGCTTCCACAACAAATGACACAGCTCCAAAGAGGTAGATGAAGGAAGTGCATGTTTCTGACATGCCAAAGCAAGCACCACCTTTCTTCATAGACAACTTTTGTAGATTTTGCTGTTCATTTGGAAAATTCAGTGTTACTAAACATGGCAGAGAATTTCTTTCATATAAATTCTGTAAGTGTTCCTTAAATTATCTATGTTCAAGAACCAGTTTTTTTTTTCTCTAAATCTCTCATAGATTAATAAGTGGTCTGCTGTGTCTGAGCAGTTTCCAGCTTATGCTGCATGTTCAATTTGCCACTCAGGTTACT